AGATACTTTATTGAAAAATATTGTTTTCGTATTTACTTCGGCAAAAATCCAATGGAACAAAGGCGTCAAGAATCACTAGTGATTTGGATTCGATGCTCAAGGATTTTTTAAAAATTCAGATTCAAAATTTGTGTAGTCTTCTTTGTAAGTGTTTTGGTCCAGCAAATCACAAGGGTATGGTTCACTTATGGTTTGTAGACACAATTTTATCATTTTGCTGGATCGAACCAGTTTCGGAAAGTTATTTTTGTTGCCTAGCATGTTTCGGGGAAATGTCCTAGATACACTGAAAGCTTCCACATTTATCTCTTCAGAATCGAGGTCAATGAGGAAATAAACCTGGGGAAACCCGTGGAAAAGGAAAATAAATAAAAAAACCCTAGGAAAGAAATTGTGTCGGGGAAGTCGCAGGGTTTATCGGATAAAGCCATCAATTTTATTTCGTCGTATTGCATTTTCTTCACAGAAAATTCTCCCTCCAGTTATTTGAAATAAAATTATGTACAGTACTTCCGCACGATACATGCATGTGAATGTCGATACATTAGTCAAGTCTCTCAGTACTGATGTTCTGTAATGGATTAATATCCTTTTTGTGAGCTTCAAGATTTGCTGGAAGATTTTTTTTGCCCCAATTACAACGATAATCTAACAAAACGCGGCTGACCTTGCGCCAATTTTGTGGTTCATGTAGGGGACCTCGTTTTGTGGAGTAAACCATCGATACGCACATCAGGTTTTTCCCAAAAATTTCTCACATTCATTCCATAATTTCAAAGACACCAAATTGCTTCATTTTTCCGTTTTGAGCCAGTCATAAAGCAGGTGACTATTGTACTAGGATCAATCAAGTTCTCAGAATTATTTTCACCATCTATGAGACTATGACCCTGACACCATCAATGGCTTGCTACTACCACATTTACTCTAGTATTCCCTTCTTCGCAAGTTTGAGAGGGAACATATGGGGTGAGCATCGAATTAGGCTTAAAATTCTGCGAAGGCTTTTGAAAAATTCAAGCGTGAATTATACTTGATTTTTATGGAAAATGTTGGACTAAGTTCAAAAGAAAAACTTATTTTAATGGAAACAATTGAATTTTTCAAATTCATGATCAGTTCATGTCTAAATTCGAATTGGTGTGTTCTTATCTTAGAAACATTGTGGTTTCAGAGTCAATAAATATTGGGTGCACATTTTACAAGGGGATAGGATTTTATGCAAAAAAATTCTATTGAAAACCCCTGGTGCGCATCTTACTCAAGGGTGTATTGTTCTGCACTCAAGTAAATACATACCATGCAATATGACCTCCTGAAATTCGATGGTAAAATTTGCTTTGAGGTCAGCTCAAAATTTGACCTCTATTTTACAAGTCAACCAGCAGAGAGATGCAAAACCTCAGATACATTCTGGAAAACAATGCATTTTATGCAGTCTTGCCATTCTACCACTTCACAAGTTGACCCTAGCCCAGGAACAGATTATGGTTGAATTGGGGCCCAAATCATAAAAAGTCTGACACTTTTTTTATAATCCTGCAGAAAATGTTTTCTCAAAATCGAAAAAATCCTTCACAGGGTAACATTTTTTATGCATTCCTTCTAGTGTAGGATCAACACATATTGGGGATTTCTGAACACAGTGGGATTTTCTGTTGCCAGATTTTTCCTGACTTAAACCTTCCCAACCTGGAGGTCTTTAACCCTTGTGCACCTCAGTGACCTTAAATCAAACCAAAGTGTCTCTCAGAGACCTTTGGTAATTTCAGAGATCTTTGGTCAAACTGAAATGCTCCTCCCACAAAAAATCCTGACCCAGCAAATAATTTGGGCGTTTTGAATGCATTTCTAGCCAAAAATGCTACGCATTTTTTACCTCTCTATGTTACGCCTACTCAGGATTTTATTTAATGCATACCTTACAGGCATTTTGAAATGCCCTCTAGTTACAGCTAGGTATTTATCCAGGCGTAACTCAAGTTACGCCTGGGTAGGATTGAGTATAATGAAGAAATGCATTTGATACGCATTTTTAAACAGGAAATTGTTACAAAGAAAACCACAATTTTTAAAAATATTCTCACCAAGACAGACTGGACTCATGCACAATGCACACATTATACACACACACACACACAAACAAACAGACACACACACACACACTGACAGGGAAATAAATGAATAATAAACTGCCCCTCTCGGGATTCGAACTTCAAACAAACATTCATGAGCCCAAAGTCATATCAACTGTGCCACAATACCTTGGTATTATTACTGAGGTGATAATTACTCAGTAATAATACCAGGGCATCTAATAGCAGGTATCATGTGCCAGATGGTATTATATATCTGAAATGAACAGTTTTTGGGATTGTAACAGATAGGCATTTTAAAATGCCTCTGTTACAGTGCCAAAAACTGTTCATTACAGCTTTTCCTTTGTTGTGGCATGGAGTTTTTTGTAACACCAGCCTGTTACATTCTTTAAAAATTATTCTTTATTTTAACAGTATTTTTAACTTGAAAATTTATATTTTGTGGTTTTGTATAATTGCCACAAACTGATGCAACAAACATAAAAATCTGCAACATTGTGTTTGTTGGATCAGTTTGTTGAACCAGTTTGTTGTACCAGTTTGTCGCAGCACAGATCCAGGGTTCCAGATCCTCGCTGCAGTATTATAAAACACCAAAGATCTGTGATTGGCTGCGGTATTACTAACGCAGCCAATCATGGAAACTGTGGTATTTTACTTTACTGCAGCGCGGATCCAGACTGCTGAATCCGCGCAGCTATGCTGTGATTGGCCACAGAAATAATACCATGGCCAATCACACGCCAGTATAATACCACTGGTATTATACTGGCAATAGAGAACCCCGCGTACCGCAGGGTTCTCTACCCTACTGCCTGGGTTCCTGGTCAACCTGCAGAGATGTCAACTTCTCTGCAGGTTGACCAGGAACCCTCAGCTATCCAGGGATTAACTCTTGGATCCTGGAGGGTTCCTGGTTGTCCTGTGGCAAAGTTGGGATTTTTTCAGGATGAGGGACATTTCAGTTTGAGCAAAGGTCACTGAAATGCCACAAGGTTGTGAAGGCCTAAGTTGGAAAAAATCTGGGTGCAGAAAATCCCATTGTCTCACAAAAGCCACTATGTTAATCCTATGCTGGGAATGCATTAAAAAATGTCATCCAGGGAGGATTTTTTTAGCCAAAATTTTCTGAAGGATTATAAAAGAATATTGGACTTTTTCCTGACTATTAGGCCTTGGTTCAAAAATCGTATTTTTTAAATTTTCAGTCCTCATGGGGACAACATTATCCAAAAATCTCCCAACTTTGCGGCCCAAGTGTTGAAGACCAACCTGTATTGTGGGTTTGTGGCTTTTATGAGTGTTGAAACCTATCCTTGTAATATTTGCCAATTCTCCCTAATGGTTCTCCTCTTACAAATGGTCTTGAGAACTTCATGAAACTACTTGAAATGCTTATTGCTCAGTGGGCGTTGTTTCCTGGTGGTTGTGTTGGTGGGGAGGACAGACTTGGTCACTGGTTGTTATATGCCATACATGAAGGTTTGTTGTCAAAGCCGCGCTGTCGTTGCCAGTGGCAACGCATGCTGACGCTGCGCTAACGTCAGAGGCGCGACATGGATTGGCTGACGAGAGGAGCTGGAATTGACGAGGCTTTGGCAGGCTTCGTTGCTGAAAGCCAGCCTTTCTGCGACTGTATGACGCGATGAGAGGCGGTATTTTAATTTTAAAAAAAAGTACTGTACCTTCAGTCGTGCACAAATGGCGAAATAAGGGTAATTGTGAGACCGAATTGAGAGTTGTCCTTATTTGAAAAGAAGTATAAATCGCGATTTTGTTCTTAATCCATTTCAACTTGAACCTCATCGTTTCTGTCTGTTCAAAAATTGTTGGGCATACAGATAGAAGATATTTCGTAGAATGTGAATTTTATACATCATGGTTGATTTCTTTGTCCTCGTATAAAATATACCAGGTGTTTGAATATTCTTTTTAATTTTATTTGGTGATATGGGAGAGGACAACCCATAGACGATATTGCAAAATTCAGACGGCCACAAAACTGCATTGCTGTGTGTTTTAAAATGTGATACAGTATTTCTATATCATCGCGAATATCGTCGAGGAGTACAGTCTATACATATTTTTTCAGTGAATGATTTCAACAATTCTAGATGTCGCTCTTGTTGCTGGAACAAGCGTGTGTGTGGATTTAAGTACAAATTGGTTTCGATTCAATAGGTTCCTGCGACTAATAAGAATTAACGGTGTTTATGTTCTGACAATGTCACCGGAAATTAGTTTTTGAAGTTGGGTTTTCATACACAGGTACAGTATTTCGGTTTCATACGTGATAATTCATCAAGTTTCAAACGATGGTGAGCTTACAGGACGGAATGACTAAACTATACTGCTGATTTTTTCCCTCTCTCAGGATGCATACATCAATTATGTACGTCAATATATTTCCGAAAGCTGATGGATTATTATTTTTTTGCTGTGTAGCTTCTATATGAAATGAGTGAATTTTCGAATGCGTCGTGCAATGAGACAGAAAAAAGTCATTGAGACTCCTGTGAAACTTTGATCCCAGTTGTTAAACGGAATACTTCAGATGCCTGAAACTCTGCCCAGGTCTCTTTTTTTTTAAACCGAGAATATTTCATTATTCCATTAAATAATCAAAGAAATTTCAAATTCCAAAATTAATACGCGAAAATGAATTCCAAAATTAATTCATGATTGACGATGTCTTATTTTTGAGTAAATGCTGTAGGGCCCCAAGAAAAGGACGTAATAATCGGTATGTTGATTATGTCCCGATGTCAGAGCGTCCGTATGTCGGATCAAATTTTCCTATGTAGACAGCAATGCGAACATATTCAATTAATCCTTCTCTTGTTCAAAAGTTTGACGAAAGTCCATCTAAAAATGGAATAAAGCAATTTTTCTCAACTTCAACATAAATAAAGTGACAGTGCAGTAAGAAAATATTCATAATTTAATCTTTTGGCAGAATAAAAAGCCGAAAAATCAGAAAACAAGCACAAGTCTTCCTATACCATGCTCAGATGATGGAAACTGTGGTGAAAAAAATAAGCGCGAAATTCGCCTCTTTTGGATTATGATTTATATTGAGCTTATATGTTACGAATTTCTTTATAATGTTTTCGAATATGTAAAGCTTAATTTGCTCAAGAGATATCAAAATTTTGAAAAACAAAATGCTTCCATTGTCTATAGAAATGTTGCTAAAGTGTCATCATACCTTGAGACATTATCCAAAGGTCAGGGAAGATTTTTCTATTTTTATTTTAAAATTTAAATGTCGCAAAGTCGAATAGTCCGGCAGTCAATACGTCGGGGTCCCACATTATCCAAACTTTTTTTCCAACTGCGGAAATTAAACTCCATGAAACCATGTTACAAATAAATTATCAAAAAGAAAAACTTTGCCACGTGGCCGCGTGCCCCGCATGAGCACCCAGGTGATCCTGGAATCGATAAAATAAATTTATTATTTATAAGCCTGGTTCTTCCAAAGGGCCGTGTCCGGGAAGAAATACTGTTATTTCTGGCCGTGGAAAAAACGCGCGTCGAAGAGAACGCAAAAAAAAAGTCACTGTGCAATATAACTTGCCCCTACGTCAGGGTCAGTTGTTGTTGTGAGCATTCAACAACACGAGACCAACTTGACGCAGCTGCTTTTTAACCTTCATGTGATAATAGAGAATAAGGAGTGAGCTCTGTGAAAAGAAAGTGACTTTTTCAGTTTTCATGGCGATATTTTTTTCGCGTATTAATTTTGGAATTTGAAATTTCATCCGCGAATAATAAAAGTTTTGTTTTGCGCAATCTACGTATTCCAAGACACGTTCGCGATTCATTTATGTGTATGTACTGTAATTTATTATGTCAGCTGCTTCAGAGCGAATCTTGTTGAAGAAACGGGAAATGTTTTGCATAAATACTTATTCGGGAAATTTGTTTGATTCATCACGCATTTTAGTCGTTCAAAATCCTTCGGGAATGGATAAGGTTTTGTTTTTAATTTTAACCACACGGATCAAATTGACAGGTATTTTCATGGCCTCAAAAAAAAATCTTACCTTTTCGTCGAATACCTCTGATAAAGTTTTGCGAAGGATTGCAAATCTTTTGGTGAAGAGAATCTGATTCTAATCGCACTTAGAGACGGAGGTTTTGTGAATATTTTGTCATGAAATGTTCAAATAGCAGCCAAGCATGAGTGCTAAACAATCGAAAACAGAAATATTTTGATGATCTGAAAAAAAAATTCACTAACAAGGCGGAACAAGTTGTAACTTGAAAATGCCTGACCTCTGCGAAGTTTTCGCTTATATTCCATGTGTGCTCTTGTTGAGAAAAACATTTATAGTTGACCTTTGGCCACGCAACAGAAATCGATGATTATTTTCCTTATCATGTCGTAAGATTAAGAACGATTCATGCACGTTTACAATCTTCTAGAAATTCTTTTTTTTATATTCCATTTATTCCATGAAAAGAATTGAATAGCTGGAAAGCTAGTTTCCTGTTAATGTTCCTTCGTGACCCCTGTTGATGATTTTTAAAAAATTCGCATGACGTTTAATAAAATCCCCCAAATTCCAAGAGTTTTAGAAGTCCTGTGTCACGAAAAATGTAAGCTGAATTTGGGTTATATTTCATATTATCACACTTGCTTCAAAGAAGATCACAGTATTCTTCAAAAAGCTATGCTCAAAAACTGTGGTGCGGCCTTTGAAATATTCGAAAATATTTATTTGAACATGATTGGAATTTTTTACATCCTTTTTAATTGTTCGCAGATTTAATTGCCGCGGCGATAAAAACGAAGCGATGTCTCATCCACCGCGTGTGGCTGGATTCTGCTGACGCTCGCCAAGCCTTCAAACGCAGCAACCGACTCGACACTTGGACTGGCTACGACGTCATTCTCCCAGAGTCGTCATCCACGTCGTCGTCGACACCGTGCTCGTCACCGATTGCCACTAAGCGGAACCCGGACGCCAGTCGACACCGGAAAACGCAGTCGGGAGTGTCGTGGTGGCAGCGAAGACCGGGGCTCGGCGCGGGAGAGACATCTGGATCACATCCGGGGAAACGGAGGTCATCGTTTCGTGACCGGAATTCTCCCGTAGGGAAACCCGAGGATTTTGCGCAACGAGCGAGAAGAGTTATTCAGAAAATCGCGTCGGTGGATTCGGAAAAGGTCAACAGTCTGATCGAGGACGTGAAGAAACTCAAGCCCGAGTGAGTGAAGCTTTTTTTATTATTATTTATAATTACTCCGGCCGTTTTTTTTTTTTCGAAATTATTATTATTGTATTTTTGTCTTGCGCAGTTTTGTACGGCACATGTGGTGTTTTCCATTCTCGCATTTCTGATCTATAAAGCATTCATCGAAGGTATGCCTTGAACATTTCTCATAATAGTACATGAGGCATTGCGCTTCTGACGTGAATACGCAATAAAAATAAAAAAGCCTCGAAAACATATGAAAAATAAGTGGCTGTGATTGATGTTCAATTGGGTTTAAACTGTTACCAACTTCCAGCATCAGAAAAGAAAGCTGCAAAAAACTAAATTTTTTCCGAAAAGCATCAGTGAGATTAACGGAAAAATTTTCCCTCGCTAATTTCTTTTTGCGGGAATGTACAGTAATTTCACGCAAAAAGTCTTTGAATTTGTTGGAAAATGAACCATTCTGAGTGCCTTCATGTGCTGCTTGAAGACGTGAAAAAATGTGTTGAAGAAAGTTCGATTGTGTCAGTAGGAAAACAGAGTGAAATTAAACTTAAAAAGGTATAAAAAAGTACTGCACTTGATTTTTTTTTCAAATATACATACCAATTCCTTGCCAAAGAAAGATATTTATTCTTTGATTCTGATTATGTTCAAAGAAAATCACCAGCATATTTTTCTGGATGACTGTAAAAGCTGTGAGGATTATAACTGGCCGGAACTTGGATTGATAAATTTCTCAAATGAATTTTCAGAATTTCCAGGTCTGTAATTTCTATCAAGTCTTAGTTCGCAATAAGTTGAACAATCCTCTATTAGCTGAAATACTCACAAGAATATCTGAAAAAAAAGCAGATGAAATTCAATAGATTTCAGCTACATTATGAAGTTTTAGATTGAAAGAAAAACACTCGATTTTTGAAAATTTGGCCTCAAATATGCAGTAATTTCATCGCGAAATTGCCTCAAACTTTTTATGGGCACGAAATTATGATATTTGCCATCATAAGTAAAATACCACTTATTTATTTTCGAAGGTACCAACGTTTGCTGCTAAGTACTCTCCAACCCCTCGCGACGCAAGTAAAATCCACTGGAAACTCATCCAACGCCTCCTCCACTCCTAATTCTGCAAGAAAAGAAGCACTCAGTCCTTGGGTCGAAAACGAGTTTGACGAATTGGCAAGACGCATTTCGGAAGCAGCTTTAAACTCGGCCCTCGCTGACGAATCCTTCCTCGCTTTACTTGGCGACACTTGCTGTCCATGTCCAATAAACGGAACCCGGACGCCAGTCGACACCGGAAAACGCAGTCGGGAGTGTCGTGGTGGCAGCGAAGACCGGGGCTCGGCGCGGGAGAGACATCTGGATCACATCCGGGGAAACGGAGGTCATCGTTTCGTGACCGGAATTCTCCCGTAGGGAAACCCGAGGATTTTGCGCAACGAGCGAGAAGAGTTATTCAGAAAATCGCGTCGGTGGATTCGGAAAAGGTCAACAGTCTGATCGAGGACGTGAAGAAACTCAAGCCCGAGTGAGTGAAGCTCTTTTTTATTATTTATAACTACTCCAATCGTTTTTTTTTTTTTTGCGAAATCATTATCATTATATTTTTGTCTTGCGCAGTTTTGTACGGCATATGTGGTGTTTTCCATTCTCGCATTTTTTTTTATCTATAAAGCCTTCATCGAGGGTATGCCTTGAACATTTCTCATAATAGTACATGAGGCATTTCGCTTCTGACGCGAATACGCAGTAAAAATAAAAAAGCCTCAAAAACAAATGAAAAATAAATGGCTGTGTTTGATGTTTAATTTGGTTTAAACTGTTACCAACCTCCAGCATCAGGAAAGAAAGCTGCAAAAAACTAAATTTTTCCGAAAAGCATCAGCACTGAGATTAAAGGAAATTTTTGCCCTCGCTAATTTTCTGTTGTGGGAATGTAATTTCACGCAAAAAGTCTTTGAATTTGTTGAAAAATGAACCATTCTGAGTGCCTTCATGTGCTACTTAAAGACGTCAAAAATGTGTTGAAGAAGTTCGATTGTGTCAGTAGTAAAACAGAGTGAGATGAAACTTTCAAAAGTAAAAAAAAATTTACTGTACTTGATTTTTTTTTCAAATATACATACCCAATTCCTTGCCAACGAAAGATATTTACTCGTTGATTCTGATTATGTTCAAAGAAAGTCTCCAGCATATTTTTCGGGATGACTGTAAAATCTGTGAGGATTATAACTGGCCGGAACTTGAATTGATAATTTTCTCGAAGGAATTTTCAGAATTTCCAGGTCTGTAATTTCTATCAAGTCTTAGTTCGAAATAAGTTGAACACCTCTATCAGCTGAAGCACTCACAAGAATATTAAAAAAAGATGAAATTTAATAGATTTCAGCTACATTATGAAGCTTTAGCTTGAAAGAAAAAAAACTAGATTTTTGAAAATTTTGCCTCAAATATGCAGTAATTTCATCGCGAAATTGCCTCAAACTTTTTATGGGCACGAAATTAGAATATTTGGCATCATAAGTAAAATACTGTACCTCTTTATTCTCGAAGGTACCAACGTTTGCTGCTAAGTACTCTCCAACCCCTCGCGACGCAAATAAAATCCACTGCAAACTCATCCAACGTCTCCTCCACTCCTAATTCTGCAAGAAAAGAAGCACTTAGTCCTTGGGTCGAAAACGAGTTTGACGAATTGGCAAGACGCATTTCGGAAGCAGCTTTAAACTCGGCCCTCGCTGACGAATCCTTCCTCGCTTTACTTGGCGACACTTGCTGTCCATGTCCAATAAGTACCGCGGAATCCCTGTTCGATCATCATCATCAGCAGCAGAGACACACACTGGTTATTCGACCACCTTACGACCCTTTCTCTCCGGACGAAGACGAGAGCGACACCTGTTCAACAACGTCAGAGTCTTCGGCTGACGGTGCCGCGAGCAATAAGGCATTAACGCTTAGGTCAAGCGACCAACGACCACGAAGACGAGGACCCCTGTGACAACTTAACGCCCACCTTTAAATGAGCTTAACCCCTGTAGGCCTATTTTAGCCTGAGCCACCGATACAGTTTATTGAGACTGGAGGTAGTGTGTACGAGTTTCGCGACGGCAGGGATTTGGTGAGCGTCGCTGCCGGGACGTTGTGTGATTTGGTGCGAGTCAGAAGAGTCATTGTTGGACCCAGTGAAAACCCGCAGGTACGTGGGTTTTTAACATACCTTCAGCGTGATCCAATTACCCTGGTTATTTATTTGACACAGTGGATATATTTAGTTTTTCTGACCGAAATTTGTGAAGAGATCTCGCTGTGAAAGTTGCGCAAAACGATTCGTTCTGGCCTTGGTTTGTAAGAAACTCAGAGGTAAATTTGAATAAATCGATTGCTCTGATGATCTGTTTGAAACAGACAGGAAATCCAGTGATTGTGACTGAAAATGTAAAAGGGTCTTTTTTTAAAGTTCGTGTTTTAAAACTCAAAATCGGAGTAAAAAGTTCTTCTATAATCTAGTTAAACTTTTTCCGAGTTTTTGGTAAAAATTACAGTTCCGACTTTGGCTATTTAACCCAGCCTAGACAACCAAACACGGAAGGTGTTTATATAGAGGAAATGAAAAGGTCGTTAGTCGGAAAGTACTCCGGTCCAGGAGGTAGTTCTTATAGAATTGTTCAATCTCTAATAACGTTGACAACGTTTATTTTCTGAATAACTAGTCGACCAGACACCGTCCCGTTTCGGAATCAATAAAACGTTGATATATTTTGGTTTGCAAGAATGGACACAAGAAATTCCTTGAGTAAGATTTTGCGTTTTAAAAAGTTCATCAGAAGGTATAAAATCCAACAATCAGTAGTAGACACTTGCAAGGTCTGCTCAGCTTGAAAGTCTGTGGTTTAGAATTACAGTATTTTGAAAATTGGTCAGAGCTGACCAAGAAGACTATTTCAATGAAGAATGAAATGAGTTGTTCTTGTAGACTTTCAAAGATTTCCTGATTTTCTTCTTGAAGGACAATATTTTGCACAGAGAAGACCGTGGGAACTTGAGGTTGACTCTGGTCCCACAAAATTCCTGAGAAGATTTATGGCACATGACTGCCAAAAAATATGGTGAAAAAAGAATTTACAATGTAGTTTTGGGAAGTATTAATCATTAGCAAGATAAATAGAACGTGCTTCAATTTTTTAGTAGTTGAGGTAATCACTCCAAATTTGTTGTCCCTATGTCAGATCATCCACATGCTCAATAATGTTTTCCCATAGAATTCAATAAAAGCATATTCAATTGGTTCTCCTGGTAATAAAAAATTGAGAATAAGCCCCCAAAAATTGAATACTGAACAACTTTCCCCTCAACTTGAAGATACAGAAAACAATTGCGCAAAAAAACCACATAGAACAAGATCTTTTGGCATCATCAAAAGGAGCTCAAAAAGCAAAGAACCAGCACAAGGCTTGATATATTCTGCACAGATGCTGCTAAAAAATCCAGAAAAAGAGGCAAATCGGCCTGTTTTTTTAATGAATTTGCATAAATTTCTAATTAAATTGTATTTTCATTTTTTTCTAAATAGCTCAATTTTTTGTGAAATTTTGAAATCAAAGCATATAATTTTTCAACTTTTATGGGAAATTTTGGCACAGCGTCCTCATCTCAAGACATTGTCCAGATGTCAGAGCAGATTTTTTTTAACTTTCAAGTGTCCCCATGTCAAATTGTCCATATGTTGAGGTCTGTGTCTGCATGTCAGGGTCACACTGTAAATTCATTCAAATTGAAACAGAACTGTGACAAATATATACTCCCTGCTGTTCCCATAGATGCGCATCAGCCTTTCTGTCAATAGCACGTCGTATGTCTTATCGCCAAACCACAAGGTAATTTTATACATCCAAAAGACACTACACCTAGACCAGCGCGTGTGCGGTAGTTTACACTGTGTACGCACGAAAACTGTAACGACAGCTAGCTATATATCGGGTCTGGTTTCCTAGTCCACGTCTGAACAATATACGCACAGAGTCAGCAAAGCATTCCTGATTGATCAGAGGCACTATACTATTTTGTGTGATCAATCACGTGGGTTGGGAAATCAATCACGGCCTGTGCTTGATCATTTATTAATATATTTCAAGAGAAAACTTCCTCTCTGGGGTATAACTTCCAATACTGGACAAAGAAGGTTGAAGACTATGTTAAAAATTCATTATTTTATTCTGCGTATAAGCTTTGCTGGTTCAAGAATGTGATGTACTATATTGGGAATGCAATGGCGATACAGGGGGACTCTTTCTACAACGAAATGTAAGGGACGAAAAAAACCCGTTATAGAGAGAATGTTGTTGTATATAGAAAACCCTTTTTAACACGGGGATGAGGAAGACGCTTGACTGAAAATAAATTCATTGTGCAAAGAAAATCGTCCTAGACACAGTTCATTGCAGAGAATGTTGTCTGTTAATAATAAAACAAGTTCAATCTATAAAATTACTTTTATTCACAATCAGATATTTGTAACAATCAGCCAAAATAAAACAGACAAGTACTTCAAGAGAATCTTGTTAACCCTTCTGTGGCTAAGTCAGACTTTTTTTGCAGATTTTTGTGGCACTCCAGAGTGGAATTTAAAAAAACCCCAACAGTGTGTGCAGGGCAAAGTCGGAAAAAATCCTGGCATTTTTTAAATTTTCCACAGAAAAAGTTCACCTGAAAATTAAAAAATGAAAGCTTCAAGGCTCCCTTTTTTTCCCTGGCCTTGTGCTGTTGCCCCTGTCATCTTGTATTGTTAGAGTGTCCCCTGACTAATGCAGAATACTTGGTTAGTGTGGATTCTATGTGGCTCATCTATTCCGTTATATTTGAATATGGAAAGAGAGTATTGCGGTTATGCTCATCCAGTTTACCTTTCCATTGTGCTGGTTCATTACCGGTCATTCACTTGGGCCTCACTCCAGTCTATAAAAGATATGCCCAAACATATCTTTGGAATTCATTGTCTGTTGAGAGTCTGTCTGAATAAGTTGCTGCTGCCTGAAATACACTTATTGCATTTGTAGGAGAAGTCCTTTTTATTTCTAAAACCCGGAATACGAGTCAGTACTTCTCATCTGTATTTATCTGCAGTCAAACACTGAGGAAATAAGTAGAGTCTTTTGCGCAAAGACGTCAGCATGGTTGATTTAGTTTTGATCCTCACAACCATTGGATAACACCCCATTCAAAGATTAAATTTAAGCTTGGAAGCCAGGAGCCCAGGTTGGAGGTCAATACAGAAAAAGTCTGACTCAGGACTTTCCCAGCATTTCATTATCCCCGGAAAAAATCCAACTTTGCCCTCCCCCACCTGGCAGGGGTTGCATAACCTTGTGCAAAAATATAATGCACACCCATCAGGAAAAAGTCCGTCTTTGCCCTGGGATAGAAAGGAGGCTGTTGCCGTCCAAGGGTTAAATATGCACAAGGTTCTCTGAGAAGTAACTGCAGTTTACACAGGATTAACTCTGAGGAAAATACTGTTCCTTGGCAATATATATGCTTTTCAGGTATATAGCTTGTCAGAGAGATGTTTTGTATATTATTCATGAATGTGTGGACCTCATGGAGCAAAATATTAGATACATGATACACAACACAATATACATATGCAAATCAGTTATATACAGTATATACCTCTGAAATTTGTATTTCAGAGGTGTGGCTGCGCACCTCTGACAATTGTCACTGTCAAGAGTGAGGGGGAGTCTTATATTTGTTAAAGAGGACAAAAGCGCATCACGCTGTTAACCTGGGGTGATGTGAGAAGACAGATTTCCAAACAAGAGGAACAGCTGCAGGAAGAAAACCTCATTTGCTTCCTGGAAGTAAGGTACAATTTAAAAAGAGGTCTTAGAAACAAATCCAAGTATTTCCTGGATAACAAGAGAATCCACCTTCATTTTATTTTCTGCATTGAGAGGACTTCAAAATGTGGAGAATAAATGACCTGGATTTTTCCACTATTTTTTCATATTCTAAGACTGCATGTTTCTTGATCAAACTGGATACATTTTTCTATATAAGAACTTAGAAAGGCGCTCAAATTATTATTCCAGATGTCCCTTGATACAATAAATAGAATAACTAAACCTTGCTGACCTGATAGTTTTTGCCATTCATTTTATTTTTCCAGGAAGTGGGATTAGCTGGATCTAATTCCGCTGACGTGGGAGTGATTCCTTGGGTTTGCCAAATACCAGACACTTTTTCAAGTAATTTGAGTCGAGATGGAAGTCAGAAGAATAAATCCAGGCGAACTTCAGCATCCTCTTATGTTGTCACTCCTTTAGCAGCACTGATTTTTCTGCTGCATCCCGAAGGAGGTGTGATACGAAGCATCCGATTCTGGAATTACTGGTCTCGTGAAGAGGTGAGTTCACAGGTTTGATTTCTTTGGAAAATTTTATTAAAGCTGAAAATGGAACTTCAGTAATTTGATTAGTATGGTACAGTATATTGAAGCTTTGAAACAATTTCGAGACTTGCATTTCAACAATAAGGTTGATGATACCTCAAGATGACTTGCCAGTGAGCATTAGCTCGTATTCTTGCTTGTGCATAAAAAACTGTATAAATGAAAGCAGCAATATATACAGTAAAATTTCATTGCAAGGAACTCCCAGGGACTTGATGACAAATTCATTACATATTGAGATTCTTAGTTTTAAAAACATTTATGGGTGAAATCTTTTGGGATATTTGTAATAAACGTTATTGTGAAGAGCTTCTGCAACATGCATAAGACTTATTGTGTAATTTCTTATTCTTTTTTGTGAAATTCCAATGAAAATTTTTATATAAACTCCTCTTTTTTGAGCCTATGCTCTGTCATATTTTCGAATGATGGTCTGATCTTGAAAAATGAAAAATATACAAAAGTCAGGTATGACGTATGAGAATCATAAATGAGATCATAAACTTTGGATGAGATGATCAGGGCTACTTTCCTAACGGACTCGCATTGGCAATAACATCAAGCTTTCATGAATGTTTTTGCTGATTAATCCATACAGGGCTTTGAGGCAGGTGCAAAACGTATCCACGTGACACTCAACGGTCGCAAGGTTGCGCTGTGTGATCTGCCATCTGCTTCTGAAATATCTGGTGCGACATCTACCGAAGATTTTAGTAACGGTGAGTTAAGCCTGCCATTCGCTGTTTTGCAAATGTGGTCCGGGAGTAAGTTTCGAAAAAATTCAAAATCTAAATGTTGCAAGAAATCTCTCTTATAATGGCGGCATGATTCCGATTATCTGAGAAAAAAACTTAGACGAAGCGTAATTTATCAATTGTTTCTATATCAGCATGAAAAATTGCTTTAATCACTCTGTTTTAGTTCACGTTTGCATTTAAAACGAAGGAAAATTCTAATTTCAAAGCTCCGAACCTCCATTTTTAGAGAGTCCTCGTCTTTTCGACACCCACAACGTGAAATTCCAAAAAAGTAATCAAGTTCGAAGTTCAAAATAAATTTGAGCCGGCGAGTGAAATAAAAACACACGTGCACGCCAAGAAAAATTCCAAATTTGCGAGGCAATTTTTTGCATGAACTCTGTACTCGTCTGGTTATCAGAATTTTGAGATTCAACGGAATTGGGTATCCAATATTCAATCCCTTTTCGATAATTTATTCTCAAAATTCTAACTGTTGCCCTTATATGTCACGGAATGTCATGGTTATTTGGTCCAACAAAACCGAAGTAAAAAATTAAAATAAAATATTGACCTGCGATACCAGGTCCAAGCTGGCCTTAGGTTGGGGCTACGCTGCCTTAAATTAAATGCTTGACAAGATTATTGATTCCATTGATGTCATGTTTGCTGATTCTGCGTCAGGTTCAACCCAGCAGCAGTGCCATGAGGTCATCATCAGCAGCAGCAACAGCAGAGCAAAAGAACCCGAGTTGATAGCTGATGATCGGATTATACTGACAGCACACAGCAGCTCATCCGTGTCCTCGTCACCATCGACAGCTGGTTCGTCACCAGTTTCCTCGTCGTCGTCGTCGTCGTCTTCATCATCATCGTCGTCGTCGTCGTCATTGAATGACGAGGAATTTTTCCGTCGGTTGCCCATAGACGACGCGCCTTCATTGTCAGACTCGTCATCGTCGGTTGGCCCCGCTGACGACGGTTACTCCAGCGGGATCAATCATCTGATAGCCACGATGCACAGCAACGCAGCCCAGATGGGGCTGAAGAGACAAGTGCCCCAAGCCCTGGACGCCGGGTTGCGGGGCAGCACTGGGTCCCTGCCCAGGTGGTTCGAGGACATCTCGTTGTAAGCGCATTTTTCTCATCTTCAATTTTGGTTTTTCTTCACGTTTCTGAATGCTGGAAAAAGTTACAAGGTGGTGTTGTGAATATAGAATGCACTGAGAAACCACCATGATGAAAGCTTTTTCATCCTCTCCCAACATTAATTTCAATTGAAAAGCTCACTTGGGTTAGTTGAGCAGTTCCAATTTCCCTTTTTTTGGTAGGGAGAATATCTTTGTAAAGAAACCCGAATAATATGGGGAGAGCATTCTATGGAATAAAAAAAATGTTCTGAAGAGAAATTCTTCTTGGACAGTACGGATTAATCATGACAATTTTCAGTCTTTCAAGGTTATGTTGTGACTTGTGACACAAATAAAATACATATGCAGAAGGGATCTATGACAAATTGAGACAGGTCCAATTCAAGACAGGGCCAATTTGAGACAGAAACCTTTGGAGACAGAGAGAATTTTGAGACAATTTGAGTCATAGGCATTTCCTTGCTTTCCTCTCTTGATCCATTTTGATGCACTATAATACCTATACTTTACATAACTTCAGAACATTCTTCATCATTTTGCTAAGTATTTACTGCACAAAATATTATCTTATGGTCAAGAAAAATTGCATAAATTTCTATACATAACACCTTGTATGGAAAAAACCTATAACACACAATTAAAATAACAGAATATTTCTAACATAGCATATTTCAAATATTTAAATTGTTCAAAAAATACAAAACTCCACAGTAAAAAAAATATTCAATTCCCAAGATTTACAAAGAATCACAAAGTAAAAAGGAAACCCAGAAAATTCAAGTGTAGAAGAAAAAACAGCTTTTGTCTGCAGAGTTCCTTTGGGACTGTCTCAAATTGTCATTGTCTCATATTGTACCTGTCTCTAAATGCCTGTGTCTCCAACTGTCCCATTCTCCAAAAGTTTATGTTTCAAACTGTCCCTGCCTCTAATTGTCCCTGTCTCAAATTATTCATTCTCAAATTGTCTGTCTCGAATTTTCCGTATCCCATGCAGAAGTCTATGTCTGAAATAGGTCCTAATACTCCTAAATGATATCAAGTTGTACTCCAAAGAAATTCATTTTACTAGAAAACCACTTTGTGCGAGATTCAAGTTTTACCATTCCTTTTCATTCATAAGGTCTTCGAGGCCCAAGTCACAGAGCTCAGTGAACCACGAATGCTACAATTCTACAAATGGAGAATTGTCCGGAAGAGGAGGAATTCCACCCGAGCTCGGAATGGATCTAGACTTCGAAGAGTGCGGACCGTTAAACCGGAGCATCTCTTTCCAGTGAGTCTTCAATGCGTCCAAAGGTCTCTTCTAGTTTTACGCGATCATTTATCATCATTATCTGAAGCAGATGAAAATGCTCAAAATATTACACCCTTATTATTTATGTCCCAAGAACCAGCTCTCACATTCACATTTTGAATATAGCTGGAAAGGGGAAATTGAGACTGTGCCATCCTTAATTGGGGATTCTTCACTGAAAAATTAAAAATTTTCCTTGAAAATGTTTGTAATGCTGGAATTGGAGAGTTTGCTGCAATAAGATTATTATAACATGTACCCTGTAGGATTTCCTCTGAGACTTGAAATAAAGTTTGCTGTGTATATGAAACCATCTCTTGAAATGATGTTTTTAAACAATATTTCACTTATAGTAGTATAGACTTGGGAATGAATGGAAGGTTGACTTGTTTATGTTATTTTATTTTTTGGTTTTGTTTGGATGCGTGGTCCATTTTACAGGAATGTGGAAATGTTGAGGGAGCAGCAGCACCACCCCCACCACCACACCCACTACCCGAGCAACGACCAGGGCAATAACAAACCACGACCCGGCTCCAACCGACCCCAGCGACCGGAAAGGGTCAGTTCCGCCCGTTACGGCCGCAGAGCCATTTCCGCCACACCTGCCAGTCGCGCGGCGCCGCTGCTGCCGCCCTCTTCCCTGCACCTCCTGCAACTCGACGGCCAGACTCCGTCGACGCTGCAGTCGTCGTCGGCGTCGTCGTCGTCGAGACCGGCGTCGTCATCGCCGTCGCCGTCGTCGTCGGGTCTCGTCGCAGCTCCGTGGCTCACGTTTCGTCGGGGATCCGTGCCGCCTAATTTGAGAACCGTGGACGACACTCAGCATCATCATAATCAATCGTCGTCCCCGGGCGACGACGAGGAAAGAGACTTTCTGAGTTCGGCGGGGGGTCGTCGTGACGATGATTTTGCCCTGGAGCTGGAGGAGTCGTGGAATTCCTTGGCCAGCTTCAACATGACCCAACGCGGTCGATTGTGTTTTGGGGTCTCGGAAGGTCAGTTGTTCGTCTTTCTATAGTTATATTTTTGGTTTTTTTTTATCTCAATGTGAGGATTTTATTGGAATCTGACGATTTCAGATGCATCTTAATTGTCATACTGAGACACTCGAGAAACATACAGTTTCAAAAACACGGCAGGAACTTTGTAAATCGCAGTCACGAGTTTAGCAATACTGTACGCTAATTCAAAAATCATTCCTCGTGACCCGACATTATTAAACGAACTCATACTCAATTCAGCTCATGAAAGATCGAAGAATTTGATATTTTTCTATGGAAATTGTTACTCTCTTTTAGCTCTGCGATCAAATTTTGAAAAGTTCCGACGTGAATAAAGGAGCAAAAATTACGAATATTCACATGATAATGACAATTTATAAGAGCTACATTTATTGAACTCAAATTTCCTAGCTTGCAGCAGCATTCGATTGAAAGTTACAAAAGCTCAACTGATAAAAAAAAAGAGTTCTTTGTTATTTCAATTCGACCAGCTTCGTTTCCCTTTGCGATGTTCATTGCAGCACTTTTATTTAGAACAAGTTCTCAACTATTATACAAAATACCCACGTTTCACGAAGGTATCTTATGTAATACAGTAGTTGTATAAAATTAAACTACCATAAAAATTGCCCATTTATTGCGTATGATGTTTAAAAATAATTGCGTCGACGTGTTCCGACGAATAATTCGCCAAATGAAATTTTAGCAGGGGATGCGATGGAAATGTATGCAAACCAGGCCAGGGGAAACAAGCCTTTGTCCCAGTCAAACAGCAACGACGACGGGGAAGGATTCATTATACCGGAACTGCCCAAGGGGAAAATCCTGACACTGAACATCAAGACCACTTGGGGTGACAACCATTACGTCGGCCTTAATGGCATCGAAGTGTTTTCGAGTCAAGGAAGCAGTGTTGAAATTGCTCGGGTGAGTGTAGAAAAATCGGGTCTCACATTTCATCGATAAAATATTTTCATTTAACGGTTGAAAAATTCCTTACTCTTTCAAAAGAGACGCTTCATTTTTGACATGCCACGTGTCTGATGATGTGCTGCTAACGAAGAAAAATTTTGACGAAAAAGACGTTGTGAATTTCAAAAATAAAAAGTAATCCTTCTTACAGTGAGATCTGGTTACAACGAATCGCGGTTGAGCGAAAAATTGATTACAACGAATTCGTCTTTCAGGTCCCTGCCCAAAAGCTGCAATGGTATTTGAGTTCGTTCATGACGATTTTTTTTTGCTATAACAACCAAATGGCTTCGTTGTAACGAGATTTTTCCTTCTCTGTTGGGTTTTCATTTTTTGCGCTGTTATCATTTCAGTAAACATTTGCGAGAAAAAAATGCTGAAGCGCGTCTTGAATTGTCTAAATGCTTCAGAAGTACCTTCATCGCAAATATGTGCTGCATTTTGCGACTTTCATCTGATAAACAAGTACTCGTCCAGAGCGAACCACAGGACCTTGTCGGTCAAGGTCGTCGTGAAATTTGAAGGTCTTGTGCGTTCAGTACTGAAATCTGCGAATTGTATGATAAATTTTTTTTCGAACTTTCGGCATGTTCAGCTTGTGAGTACCGTTCTTCTTTCTGTTATTCTGAATTCTAGATTTGGGCGAATCCTGCAGACATCAACGTCTTGCCCGAGTACAGCAAGGACCCCAGAGTGGTGAAGAACTTGATGGACGGGGTTTATCAAACCCATGACGACTTCCACGTTTGGTTGGCGCCATTCACTCCAGGGAAGGAACACCTCGTTTGTCTCGAATTCAAAAAGCCAGATTCCATCGCCTTAATCAGAATATGGGTCAGTCTCTCGTTTTTTTCTCGTATTATTTTTCTGGGCATCATTGCGATTGATCAACTTGAAAATAATTGACATTTATTTTGGATCATATTTAATTTTATATTTCTTTTTAAAATCTTGAGCAAAGGAACAAGACAAATAAACGTTCTGGACTCTCAAAGCTGCTCGATTCTGCGATAATATTAGATTTTTAATTTCTGGAACGGCTTCAGCAGTAAAAGTGTGTATTTACTCAGAGAAATTCCACGATTTTCACTTTTTAAAGCGACAATGTATTTTCATTTTAGAAAAAAGACTCCAGGTTGTGAAAGATCTCTTTTTAGCAGAACAAGAAAACATCTGCTAGGATTCTGGGCCTTTTTTCCAACTATTACTTAGATATAAACAATCTTTGTGAAAATTGAAGGTTTATGCAACAATAGGAGCATAGATTCACAAAAAGAAAAGATGAGTATGTTCAAAATATACTGATAAAAATATATATACTGTTTACAGTAGATGCACACATTGTTTCTAGAACCTTTCTTTTTCTATCAAGGAATGGCAGAAAAACAACCACACTTTGCTTCCAATTTTGTGAGGAATTTTATTTTTTACTCACAAAGTTGAAAGAATTATTTTGATTAAGACACAGAATTTGTGAAAATTGCTTGATTAAGAATCAAAAGAATTTCTTAAGAGCTGCATGAAGGAAACACGTTAATCAGCTGGGCAGCAGCTGGTGCTTAATACAGTCAACCCCCGTCTAACGGACTTGATTTGTGCAAGGGATGAGTCCGTTAGACAAAAAGTCCTTTACACAAATTCAATTACATAAAAAATGAAAAATTTCAATTTTCAACACTAATTTTAAACCAAAAGAAGTCTGTTTGGCGGATTTTGTCTGTTGGGTGGGAGGAAAAACTGTTTGCAGAGCTGGTCTGTTCGGCAAAAATCCCTTACACCGGAGGTCTGTTAGGTGGGGGGCCACTGTATAGTTCTCTGTCTCATTGGCAAATGAACACTCAATTTCAAAGGAATTCCCATTACCTGGAATTTTTGTAAGCTGTACTTTGATTGTAAAAAGGAAATTTTGAGTTTTTATAAGGGAAAATGTTGGGGACCTATTCACTGATTAAATTAGTGTTTGTTAGCTTGAGCTGATAAGGCATGACACAATGCTCTTTGGCTAGGATGTTTGTTGGTGAGCAGTTTTTCATTTAGGAATGTATTTCATTTGAAAATGGAGCCTAATATGAAAGCAGACCTGAAAATTTATTTTGAAAATTCTGCTGTGTGAACCAAATAACATGATCCAAAGAGAATCCCAACCAGTGGTACCTTGAAATTTGACCTTCCGCAAATGGAATCTCTTGCAATTTGATGGTCAAATTTGCTGGGAGGTTGTGAACGGTAATAAGTTGGAGACGGGGTGTTAAACTGGACGAAGTCGGTACAAAGGTCATAAAATAAGACGAGATTGAATTAAAATGTCACAGAACGTTAGGTTGGGTTCCGGTCGTTACCTAATCCCGTGAATTGCAGGGTACCACCTGCTGTACTATGTTCTAAAAAAAACAGAGCAGTACAGTATTTTGTAAAAATAAAAATACTCACTCATAAACTGCCTTCTAGAAAAAATTATATTCAATTCACATCATTTTTTCTGGTGCCTTTGTTTGTGGATGAAGTAACAATTCCTTTTCAAGAATTCAGTGCAAATAATTGAGTGACACCAGCACTTCATGCCAGAAATTTCACTAGAACAAAATTTCCTCTATCCATTATGCTTATAGTTTATGTAAAAGAGTAAAAGTAACCCTGATTTTGTGAAAAATAATAATAAACATGACAAGATGCTGGCATGAAAAAGAGGGTCAACTCTGCATCAATTTGAAATTGAACAAATCAATGATTATATTTTTATTTCATGAGCACCTTGGCACATCCAGAAGAACTCATCCCCAAGATCACATCATTTTATTAGGACATGAAAATGTAGCATTTATTCAATTAAAGAATGGCTCTTACAAAAGGAGTTTCCGAGAATACGTATGGTACAGTATATAGTGTATCATTTAAAAAAATTCTTGAATTATCAAGTGAAGTCCATGATTGAATTGAAGGAAAACAATGCAAGATTTCAAATGGAAAATAAGCCATAAATCCAACTAAGCAAAATATTTGTAACCATTTTCAATTCAAACGCGTTGATGCTTGAATCAAATTTCCCCCTCAAAAGGACCCATCCTTGAGACACACACAAAAATTAGTAGAGCATAATTTGTTCCCAAAAATAGTCTTTCAGGAAATAAGATCGAATTCCATTCAATATACAGTAGATTAAATCAGATTAGATCTTCTTATAAGTTTCCCATCTATCAGCTATAACCAAGTGAAGAGGAAGAAATAAATAAATAAAAAGCTCCGAGTCATGCCGGAAGAATATAAAATGCCTTCAACTGTCATGTTTCTGATGTAGTTCGGATGTCTCAAGAGCAATAAATTGATAAGACGTTCGACAGGATTGCATCAGAGCATCAGTTTCTGACCCAAAAATTTCCGCGTGACCTTTTTATTTTTTTAATTTATTTTTTTATCTTTCTGGCTCGCCGTGTCCGTTCGGTTTTCTTTGATATGTCCTGGCCCAGGGCACATTACCATCAATTAGGAGTGTTGTGGGAGGTGGAAGAAGAGGAAGAATGGACCCCAGCAGACTCATGAGCACATTCCTCAGTGGGGGCGACAAGGAATTTCCCGCCCTCTGCGCAGCCATGACAGTTTGAACATGCGGAATGAGGCCATTTCAGCTCTCTTTGACTTTTACATCCTTTTTTCTTCAGAGAGGACTGGACTGCAAGTGAATGAGATCGTGGTGTGAATAAAGAGAGTGACCGATATTTTCAAAATACAGTGGCCCCCACCTAACAGACCTCCCATTTAAGGGATTTTTGCCAAACAGACCAGCTCTGCAAGCAGTTTTTCCTCCCGCCCAACAGACAAAACCCACCAAACAGACTTTTTTTGATTTAAAATTAGTGTTGAAAATGGAAATTTTCAATTTTTATGTAATTGAATTTGTGTAAAGGGACTTTTTGTCTAACAGACTCGTCACTTGCACAAATCAAGTCTGTTAGACGGGGTTGACTGTATTGAGAAAGTTCTTCCTTCCAATTTTCTGGACAAAAATAAAATAATGCACAACATCAAATTACACATGTCAGCTCAATGTAGGCAAACACTCTCCACAACAATCTTGTCTACAATGATTTTCTCTGCGAGCAATGGCTTATCTCAATTACGTTGAATGTGTTCTCTACAATGAAGTTCTCTCTAAAACAATTTTTTCTGGCCCTTTGAATTTTGTTGTAGAGGGACTCAAACTGTAGAAGAATTTAATGCCTATGGTGCTCTTCAGTCCTTATTATTTGCTTTGGGGACTTTTTTGCCACCAAATATGATCATGGTTTCAAGAGAGGGATGAGAGATATTTTCAAAATCATGGAAGATTTCTTCCTTCACTTTGTTTTTTATAAAAATACAATAAGGCATCAAAAAAGGTGGAGCCATGTCATACTGCAGCTCACCTCAATATAATCTTTATAATCTTTTTACAGTACAGTACAATGAATCTCATTATAAAAAATAAGTGCTTGCAGGGAATTGCAGTGAATGTTACTTAATTTTGCTTAAACTAATTTTTGTTCATAACAAAGCATCTTTCAAAATCAAAAATGCTTTGCAAAACACAATTATATTGTATAAGGATCTGAGGAATGCTATGCTCACCAATGCTTATCACATGACAGATGTGCCATTCTCAAACTGAGCAAATATACATAGGATATGAGGCCATTCTGTGCTCTTCAATCCCAATTTTTGTCTTGAGGATTAACCCATGTTTGGCAGAGTCAGGATACTTTTTGCAAAATGTTGTGCCCATGAGCGCTGAAAATTGGAAAAAAAAATTGATTTTTGCATCAAGGCCTAAGTCAGGAAAATGTAATTTTTATAATCTGGCAGAAAAATTTGCCTCAAAAATAAAAAAATTTTCTCTCTGGGTGGCTTTTTTCAGGATTTTTTTTTGCTCAGGATTAGTAGTAGAGATTTTGGAATACAAAAGGATTCACCCTTCCTGTATTTTTCCAAACCTGCATGGGTGAATATCAGTGACCTTTGGTCAAACTGAAATGTGCAACCCCCTGAAAAAATCCCAACTTTGCCACAGTATGGCTGATGGGAACCCTCTGCTACCCAAGGGATAATCAGCATAACTGGATGATATTGCTGTCTACATAAAAGGAAGGATATTTTCAAAATATTGTAAGAAAGCACTCCTTCCATATGTTGGTTACAAAAAATATAGTGACCTCAAACACAACATGTTAAGCCATGCCATTTCAACTTGGGAAATTAGTCCACTTTTGCACCTCAATTATCATATTTATTTTGAGGACCAATCAGCCACTAAATGAGATTATTGTTTCAAGATAGAGGGATTGAAATTTTTGAATCCATCATGAAACAATTACAGGTGGTACCTTGAAATTTGACTCTAATCCATTGCCGGACAAGGGTCAAATTGCAAAGCAGTTGAATTGTGAGACAAGGTCAAATTGTATGTTTTCTACATGGCATTTGGTGTTTTGTGTCTCTCCACAGGTTGAATTGCAAGGCAGCGGTCAAATTGAGAGGCAATCTTATAGAAAAATTTAACCATCAAGTTGCACGATGGTCAAATTGTGGGAGGTCAAATTGCAAGGAACCACCTGTACAAAACAGAGTTTGAAATTCAAATATATATTTCTTCCAAATCAGTTCTCCAACGTCCACTATATGGTCAATGCTTTGGATGATAAAATGCTGATCTTAAAGGCAATATGTAGACGCTTCTGTAATTTTAGTTGTATCTCAAATTGATGTTTTCAGCAAGACATCCTAAAAGTGTTTCGCCAATCTACATTTTTCACCGGCGTGTGCGAGTAAATGCTGAGTGCATGCATATATTCTAATAAAAACTTGACTCCCCAAAATTGATACGTGTATAAATATACAGTACAGCACATATTTCCAGCAAATTAGCTCACCAAAAAGGCAGGGGTGGGCAAGAAATATATAGGAAGGTCTGCTGGGGTTCTTTTTGCGGGCAGGGGAGAAACAAAAGGGTCAGGCGTGCGAAATCCCGCGGCAAGTTCGCGCAAAAAGGCCGCCGTCTCTGTGTCGGCAACTTTTGGCACGGATTGATTCGTCCCAGTTGCGGCAAAATCACCTGCTCTGGTTTCCTCCCCCCACAACCGTATTTTTTCTTCTTATTCAGTATATACATGTATATTTTTTTTTACACGTTTTTCATTACTTGAATTTTCGTGCTGCCGGAATTGTTCGCAGTTTGCATTTCCTTTTTTTTTTTTTTGCGTCGTCTCCCCCGCTTTTCCGCAGGTGCCTATCCGGTTTTTTGCGGGCTAAAAACAAAAGCCTCAGTCGCCGGTAATTTGACAGCTGTTGGAAAAGGGACGGCTTACATTTTATTTGCAATTCGAGCGGGAAATTTTGCGGGCAAACTCGGGGACCTTGATAAAACTATCAAGTTCTCGGATTCTGCTTCAGAAAGGGGTTCGTTATATAAACACAGGGTGTAGCTGTAAAAATTGCTTTGCCAAAAACGACGAAATTTTCTCGCTGAATGAATTTTAATTAAAATTTAAATACAAAGAATAAAGACCGAAAGAATTAAATTTTAATTTCGTGAACCTGACGCATGAAGATGAAAAAGGGAATTTTTTGGGGGGTTTTTTAAGTGAGTCTTGTGGAGAATGACCCAATGAAAAGGGCTTCTTTTTCGGGTCATCGAGATCACAGCAAATTATCAAGGATTATAATTGGAAGATTCTTTCCCCCATTTACCGCGGAGATAATTTCAGATATCGAAATTATCTTTAATATCCCTCGACCGGCGTTTCTCAAAAAAGTTCTTACGACATGCAACAACTTAAAAATCAGATGAAGGATATAAAATACAGCAGTGTTCAGAAGAAATATTACTTCTTGAAGCTTATCTTTTATTTTTTTTTGCTTTTTCCTCTGCATCAAACGCTTCTTTTATTCCATTCAAACCTGCTTTTTATGTAAGAATCATCATTCTATTACCTTTTCTCATGTAAATACTTGTTTATGAAACTTTTTTTCGAGAAGTCGAGTACCATTTAATTTTTCGAAATACAAACATGTGGATTTTCCGGCAAATATTCCGAAATATCTGGAAGATGGACGCCACAAAAATGTTTCAAAATAAGCGTAGAACAATTTCCTGAAGAATTTGACAGTAGAACCCTGTAAAAAAGGAATTAAACCTCTTATTATCGGGATTCTTTACGCTTAATTAAATTGCGAATGTGTCGCATTTTCGATGGTGAAATATCAAGAATAATGTTTCAGGGTTTCTGCATGATTTAAATTTCAAAGTTGCGCGCGTTGATTAAGAAGCATAACGCAACAAAATTAATCGCTCAAAAAAAAAGATGAATAAGGAAGTCTGAAACGTAAGAAACAGGAGGAAAAACTCGTCCAGTCATCGTCTGATGAAATCATGACTCCGATGATTTTGCTAACAACACCTTCAGCAACTCCACCCACCCGAAAATAAGCCACCCAGGATTGAGATACTTTTTTTTTTAATTTTCATTTCCCTTCATCCCTCGTCCCAAATAAATTAAAAAACTTGGGCATGACTTGATCATTAATCATCCCATCGGAAATGCATGCAGTAGCCGACACAATGATACCCGTTTGAAAGGCGGAAACCGAGAAGGTGATTTTCCGGCATGACTCAGCAATAAATTCTTTCTTCTGCGCTTGAAAACGCTGCTGGGATGGTGTCTTAACCTTGGTCTTCATCTGCTTGTCTATTAATGATCTTCAGAAACGCCCTGCAATCAGGGGGGTGTCATTAAATGTAATCCATATTCTATCTTTCATCCAGAGAAAAATATATGAATGAATGAATGAACAGAACACTTTATTTGCCGCTTTTCAGACGCCTTCCTTTCGGCCAGCCAGACAGCATCAAAGCCTGGCATCACTCCTGTTTCCCTGCAACTATAGGCACAGGGTTCTCAAACCCGTGGGTCCGCTGACCAACTCAGGTCCACAGAAGTTTCTTGGTGGTCCTTGGGATTTTTTTTCTTGCATAATAAATCTACCCAAGTAGCTACAAAGTCAGTTATCTTCATGAATTTTGGAAAGACGATGGCTGTTGAAATTACAGGTGAATATCTAATTTCTAGGGACCAGGACAATTTTTTACTTCGGTAGGTTTTGATTTTTAGAGGCTTCCAGCGAGGGAAACAAATAGTTTTGTTGTGAGGAGAAGTGAAAAAATTGTGGTAAATTGTAAATTGAGATATTCTGGGATTAAACATTCTCCTTGATGAGTTACAACTAGTTTGCTGAACTTGGAGGCAAGGGTTCATTTGCTCCAAGAGTCTTTCACTTCTTTTCTAGATGCATCAAATCATTTGAATGAATGAATGAACAGAACACTTGATTTGCCGCTTTTCAGCGTTCACAAGGTTCAATCAAGATTTCCACAACCAAACCCACTTCCCACCCAACCCAAATCCACTCAATGATATTTAATCACTTCAGAGCAGCAAGCAGAAAAATATATATGAACATCACTGGGTTCTTTTGATGTGTCTTTTTAATATTTTATGGAGAGTAACGGTGGTACCTTGCAATTTAACCGGCTGAAATTCAGCCATCTTGCAATTTGAAGGTTGAATTTGCA